TAGGGTTTAGGGTTTAGGTTTGCTGCCGCTCTTCTTTCTGGTGAGATAGCGGTGGCGCTCCTCCTGTATTCATGGCAATTCCATATGTCTCTTGGTCATGATAGCTGCTATTTGATGGTGGTGGTGATGGTGGCGGTCATGATGGTGGCGGTGGTTGATGATGATGATGATGATACGATGGTGATGACGATGATGATGATGATGATGCTGATGGTGCTGCTGATGATTTAAAGCTCATAGTTTCAGATCACTGGGGTTTATACCTCGCAATGAACAATGCAAGTGAGCACTTGTAGCCTTCGATGCACCGCCGTACACCGTCTCCAGAAGCAAATCCGCGCTCTTGCAGAACCTGGCATTGCTCATCCACAGACCTATGAAGATTTGAGATCCAACGCTCAGACAAAAAAACAACAAAACAAAAGCAACTGGGTTTGGGGTTTAGGGTAATCCAAAACCCTAAAGCTGTTGTGCGGCCGCGGTTCCGGGCTGCACTTCGCTGGATCTGAGCGACGAGCTCGCGTGTAGGACCAAGGACCTCAGGTACGACGTATATAGCCACCATGAGTAATACAGAGGCATAGCATCATGAAGGGTTCGTTTGTGCGATCAACAAAAGGGGGTGCTAGAAGGGTTCTTTACAGGGTTCTTTTACTTAATAAGGGTTTCTCGATACTGATTCCGCCTCATATGGCCCTTTTTTCCCAAGCTTGCGAAGAATCCATGTCATGTCGGTGCGACATGCAAACACCTCCATGCATCTAGACGAAAAGTTGTTGACGGTTCTCACACTTCGCAGGGCTTGCTGCAAGCATTCCCTTTGACTGACGGCATCGTCAAATCTACATACAAACCCTGCATGAATCTACCCTTCTTCGATTTGGTGTGCAAAGCGCGCCTAGGAGTATTGCATATCCCAGTCCTAGCTGACCAGAGATGCCACAGGCTCTGTGCCTCTGTGCAAGAAAAGCATGTGCCGATTATTAGTACTGTGTGACAGTACTGTAACAGCAGTAGCCCGAATAGCGATGCAGAAAGCAGGACGGCAAGACTATGCACTATCATGAAAGTTCATACAATGTGGGGGTTTCCGAAAATAGGGGACCCTAACGAAGTACCTTAAATAGTAGGATCCCTATTATAAGGACCCCAACATAAGGTACCCGTTATTTTCGGAAACTCCCATATACTGCACCGTCTCCATTCTGACACCTTTCTTAGAAGCCCTAGGGCTGCGCAAAAACGACCGCTACATTGACTCCACATAGTGTAGGGTTTAGGGTTTAGGGTTTAGGGTTTAGGGTTTAGGGGTGTAGGGGGTCTTAATAGTTAGAGTAGGGTTTTGGATTCCTTTATAATGCAGTGGTAACAAGGAACCCTCAGGAATAATACTGGCAATTCTTTAGGCTTCTAAATTGGCCAAGGTACCAACATGCGAGGAGCATGCAGTGGATTTGGGCATACTCTGCGCAGGATGTTTGCAAAGCCTCAGGCTCAAACGAGGACTGCTGACGACTGGGCCTTCGAACACGTTACATGTTGAAACCCTAACCCCGAATAAAAAACGAACTCGGGATATGAAGCAGTTTCAGGAAATAGCCCCCCCACATGGACCCCCAAAGAGTGCGATCCTTGGTTCTGGGGCCGCTTGAGTAAGGTCACATCAATCCCAACAGGCCGCAATGTAGATTGGGAGGACTGCAATGTAGGGGCCTTAATGATTTGAATCTTG